AACAGCCTCTTTCATTGTCCATACCCTCTGCATGCAGTCGACTTGATACAGCGAAAAATTGCCAATACCGGTAATCTTGACGGGGTTCTTCATCGGTTTGGCTTGGCAACGGAGCTGCGCCAGACTCGTAGATTACATCTAAGGATTTCTTCACTAATGGAGCAGGCAGTAGGAACGGTAGAGCAGCGCTCAGAATCGGCTTCTTATCTCCACCAACTTTTGGATGCTTACGGGCAGCACTCTCATACTGTACTGGATAAACATCCAGCAATTTGGAAATATCAGTAAAACTGATGTTTATGTCGCCAAGGACGCGCGCAACAACCCCGACGTCCTCAAATGATAGCGCTCCGCCTTTCTCCAGTCGTGTATTGAATTTCTTACGCGCTGTGGCTCGTTTCTTGGAGTTTTGCGCTGCAGTTGTTTTCGGTCGCCCAGCCCGCCGCACCTTCTTGCTCAAATTGATGGGCTTGGGTGGATTCTCATCTAGCACATCAGGTGTACCCACAGGATTCGTAACAGGATCTACTACACGATCTGTAACATGTTTACTGCCAGATGACAATACAGGTTCTTCCTCAGGTTTCTTTACAGACACCTCACCCGGGTTCATTACAGGTTTTTCTTCATGCTCACTTCCAGGTTTTTCATCAGGTTGAACCTCCAAATTTTGTTCTGGAGGTTCTACAACTGCGTCATTCGTGACCTCGCCTTCATCTTCTTTTTCGTCGTCTCCATTCTCAACTCCATCCAACTCGTTTAAAGAATGCTCGGCAGATTGATGACATAGCTTCTCTGCAGGTTGCGTACCAGGTTTTTCCACACATTGAACTACAGGTTTTTTCACAGGTTCACCTGCAGGTATCTCCACAGGTTGCAAACCAGTGCGCAGTCGGCCCAGGTAGTCTTTCAGGTACTCCATCTCTTTGCTGAAAAGTCGCATCGGCAAGTCAGCTAGCTCCTGTGCTACACGGTTTAGCAGATTCCTTGATATGCTGTATTTTTGTCTACTATCCAGCACCGAATCCACGTTGTACTCCCCGATAGGTTTGGTAGTCTTTGAGTAATTGAAAACATCCACGTGTGGCAAGCTTGTCAAAGACAACGAATCCTTAATTAACCATCTCGAGTGAATGTAGGACACTGGAATACACGGAACAAGTCCAGCAAAGCGGCGAAAGCATATCACATGGCGGCATGGAAGCTTGAGAGTTGTCGAAAAATCACAATCACCAATCCAGTCAACCTTGCTAAATGAGTATCGTTTCAAACCCCGCTCCACTTCCACTGTGTTGTCAGAGGTTGCGTTAAATGTGTACAGCCGGACCGCGACGTCGGAGATAGCGAGCTCATACTCAGGCTGCAGCGTAGATGCTACCCAAGGTGTACACAGACGTAATACCAAATTAAGCTCTTGATCGTAGCCGTAATGTGTCCACGCCCCCTCAAACGCCACCCTTGCCAGACTTTCGTTATCGCATCGACGCTGAGTTCGAAGAAGAGACTCCAGACACTCCTTCATTGAGCAACTACCGTCAAGATCGAGTTTGATCTTTCCAAAGTTCGACTCGATACGGTTGTTCGTATTGTTACGAAAATGCGGCAATGTTTGACGTTTGTAGTGTGTCCCCATATCCTTGCTTTGATCCCAGTTTTGACAAAAGTACTTCCAAAACGACACGTTGCCTTGAGCGCAAGAAAACGTCTCTAAAAGAGAAAAATTCTTAGCGTAGACCTCTTCTGAAGTAGCGTCCACCAAGTTAGCGAAGAGATGACCCATGGCATCGTATTCACTTGGCGAATAACGCCCGAAGCGCGCCTCACGGACAACTCCACGTAAAAACTTCAACACATGGAAATGGCAGAGCAAAACTGTCGCTTCAGGAAAAGCTTCACGGATCACAGAGATCTCCGTCATGTCTTTATCGACCATCACGACACGGAGTGCGTCCCAACCGACGTTGGCAGTCTTGAAGTGAATAAGAGCTTTGCGCATGTGCCAGTCGGAATTCGTTTCAATTAACGAATGCTGCACGAATTGCCCTCGACCGAACGCATCCATAACCATTAAACTGCAAAGTTGGTAGTCATATCTGAAGGTACAAACGTGAACTGAATTAGTAAGGATTAAAACCTGGTTTATAACTGATACTCAACCTGGCCAATCACCTATGTGAAAGCCTGGTGTCTAACCCGGCATAAACCTGGAATGAAACCTGGCAAATTCCCTATGAAAACCTTACCTGTTGGTTTTGTGGGTACAGTCTACCAACAAGAGCTCTGGAAACCTGGCGAACGTGGCTCGCATACGTCTCGTAGTCAGAGAAATAGCACCGGTCTCTCCGGAAGATGTATCGTCCACACTAACCACATCGTCTTTGTCCTTTTCACAAAACGCTATAAGAAACTCTGCAACAGCCAAATCGTCGTCTGCTTCTCCACGCATTTCATTGCGAATCTTGACTAGGAGGTTAGCCACGTCATTGCGCGTCACCTTGTAGCTTGAATAGTCACGAATGTAATCGTAAATGCGCAAACTTTTACCGCCCACTCGAACCATCAGCCGGAGGTCTTCAACAATAGGCTCACACATCGGTATCTGCCGATTATGTGAATAGTTTTCGAACACCATTTCGGATAGCGCGTGGTTGTGCGTATATATAGGGTTCTTCACCTCTACAATCCACTTGCCCTTGACGAAAATACTTTCGACTGTGAATCGAAACGGACCGCCAGTACCACGAAGTCGGTACTGTTGCCGCTTTCCCATACCACGGCGCCGAGATTTCGCTCCATGGGTGCAAATATACCTGCGTCGCCACCGCGGTAAGTCGTCAGGTAAGTAGCGGACGCCCCGGCCACTCTTCGCACGTTTGGACTCACGCAGCTGCTTGTTGCGCTTCGACACACTCTCTGCTTCTTGAACGACTAGATGCGCGTTCTCCTTCTCGCAGTAATTAACTCGATACCTCTCCCAAGCGTCTCAACTGGCGTGGAGCCGCTTCAGCTCCTTCCCTTCAAATGAATCTTCCTGGAGTAAGAGATCGTCGAGTGAGTCTTCGCTGCCCTCCCGAACTAACTGCGTGCCGTGGGCTAGCTGCGTCCGGTCCGTGTCTTCATTGTCGTCGCCTGAACTATCTCCTCCTCCACTGAACGTTGACACAGCTTCGTCGTCTTCGTCGGAGTCGACGTCTTCCACATTACACAGTTTCCGCTTCATTGTGGGCTTTCGGCGCAAATTGAGAAATGAGAGGCCAGGAGAACGTTTCACCGCCCACCGTTGTACAAAATCTTAAGATTTGATAGGGTAAGGGGAATCTTTGCACATCATTGTAATTTACTTTTTAATTACATTCTGGTCAATACCGTACTGATTACCTGGTCAATACCCTGGTCATTTGTCGCACGGCTATGTAAAAACAACCTGGTCAGTAGATTTTCCGATATAGTAATGCTGCTTTTCTCGACTTAGAAATATAATTCATTGTTTGCCCCCCCCACCCGCTGGAGCAAAGCGAAGGCGGAAAAAAAACTAAAGGGTGATTTAACAAAAGTCACCTAGAAAAGTCACCAACAGTGGCAACGCACTGTCGTGCTCATATACCGGTATTAGCCGCTGCACGTTTTGTGTGAGGGCCCTCGTTAGATCTCACCACACTTATTATAACATCTCCGATGTGTCCCTTGAAGCGGGGGACCAGGAGCTACCCACAGCTGTCAATTAAACATGCAACTATACCTTTGGACCAAAGGTATTTTCTGCATTACTGTACTAGAATTCACGTGTACACAACAATGGAGCGTCTCCAATTTGGAGTTCAATTTGAAGACACCCACCCACCCGGCCGGCTTCGCTGAACCCTGTTGACGCCACCGCTCCTCTCCTCGGTGGGAGATCAGTCGGTGTCGCGTCGCAGGCAGCGGCGTGTACAGTATTTAGATTATAAGTTGAGACTTTAAATTATAGTCTCAACTTGTTTGTGCTTCCTGTCTCTGCAATCCTTTTTGGCGGTCTTTCGTCGCGTCTGCGTTGAGGTTCATGGCGACATGACGCCGAGATGAATGAGGGGAAATCCTGCAAAATGGTCGTCGCTGGCAACGCCGAACAAACGAATACAGTAATCCATGACGCCGAGCCTGAGCAGCCAGCACACAATAAGGTGTGGCGAGTGTTCTTTCAGTAACTGGTTGCAATGTTTTATTACAAGTATTATTAATAATACCGGAACATAATTAATTGCCATACCAAATACGAGACGATTACCGTATTGCGATTTTTCGACATCACGTGATATTTTGCGCTCTTTTTTTTGCGCTTGTCGGCAGCTTTCGTAACTTGCCTCTGCCACAGTGCCCAGATCTTGTCTGGACCAAATCCAGAATGGCTCACTCCAAGTTAAGTGGACTTTGTGTGACTTGGTACGGCTCCATACCAGTCTGGTAGGCCAACAAGCGTACGAGCGGGAAACGAGGTCTTCAATGTCGACGTATCAAGTCGATAATCGACAACCAACAGACCCGCATAGAGCCCCCGCAGTTATCATGGCCGTCGGTTTTTATTGCTTTCACAGTTTGCCTCATTCCATTTCCTCTTGTTGCCACTACCTTCAACGTCAAAAACCGCCCTTCACTTTTAAGGTGTAACTGCGTGGCGTTTATTAGATAGCCGACGCGAGCGTTAGTTCAGTCACGTCGACTAATAACGGCGATTAGCGGATAGTGCGAGTGGCTTCACTGTTCTGCGTTGCCTACATATATGTGTCACCAGAATCGCAAAGTTGCTTGTCGTCTTCACGGCCCAACTTGACAAAAACCTTGACTACATTACTGTACTTTTATAATAATGCTGCATTTTGAGGGAATTTCGGGGAAAGCTCCGAACAAAAACAAAATTTCAGCATAGTGAGTGCGGGTGAAAACCCGCTCGAAACAGTTGGGCTGCGTTCAGACGTCTTCTTTTTTTCCCCTCATCCATAGTCAGTTCTGCCGACTACAAGTTCCCGTGTCGTTTTTCTCGCATTACATTCACGAACAACTCGTGTTGAGGAAACCGGACGTACCCGTACTTTGTAGCAGATCCCCTTCAGCTCCGTTACGCCTATCGCATCGCATGATGGACCAAAGCGAGAGCAGCGCCATCGGCAACACCTTCGTAGACACCAACACTTCCGAGTTCCCTATCCTGGGTGACAACGAGTCCCCCGGGACATCCGACGGCCACCCAAGTATGCGCAACAGCCAGCACCGCTTCAGTCCCAACGGGGGCAGCAAGCGCAAGCTGGCGCAGTCTCCTCTCTCGCAGACACGTTCGTCGTCCTCTTCGTCGTCGCTGGCGGCGTCAACGGCCTCGAACTCGCTCACCGACCGCCTCACCATGATGAACATCCCAATACAAGAACTCAAGGGCTCCGCTTTTTACGGTTGGCTCTGGAAGCGTGGCCAGTCCTTTAAGACGTGGAAAAAGCGATTCTTCCTACTTAACGGCGCAGCGCTCACCTACTACACGCAGTGCTGCGTCATCGCCTCGGACGTGTTGGGAGGAGGCACCCAATGCCTCGACCTGCCCGTTCGAGGCGGTTTACGCGTCGCCAAGGCCGAACTCTCGGACATGACCAGCTTCGGCCTCAAAATCACCAGCTCCAGTGGACGTGTGCTCTATGCGCAGGCAGGAGACCAGGAATCGCGCGAACAGTGGCTCAAGGTACTAAAGGAAGCTCCGCTCTCTCGCGGAGAGATGATGGGACCGATGCCACTCCGTCGGACCATGGCGAGCGACCTGTCGACGCAGCGTTCGTACCAGGCAGAGGGCAGTTCTCCTTACATGCACACAGCCATGAGCGTGCTGAGTAGCGATGACGGCGACGACACGCAGGATTGCGACATGCAGGGCTATCTACATTTGCGGGGAGGGCTTCTCCCCAGCTGGAAGAAGCGCTTCATGACACTGACAGACGGACATTTGACTGTTCGACGAAGCCGCACGCAGCGCAGCTCGGACCCACAGGAAGCTGACAAGCCGTTCGACGTCATCTCGGCAGTGCGTTGGAGCGGCCACGACAACGGCCTCTGCATCCGCCTGGAGAACCACAAGGAGCTGTACGTTTACGCCGACCACGACGTTGACGCGTCCATGTGGCTGGAAGCGCTGAAGAGCTGCTAACTTGGACCCAAGAGACGGACGATAAGGGGACGCTGGGTGCCTATCCCATTGCACTGCGATATGAAGCAGACACGCCGTTGAAGAACCGCCAACGGACCGACAAATCGACAGGCCAAGAAACCAACCAATTCTCCCTTTTTACCAACTTACTACCCCAGCTAAATTATTAGAGGCGATAATTATGACTAAATGCACGTATCCGCCGCGCAAGAATGACGGCTAATTTTGAAGTCAACTGGAGTCGATTACTGCGCACGTGAAGCACGTCGTTTCTGACACGCTCATGAGGCTTTTGCGGCGAAAACTTGACCCACAACGACGTTACGCCCGCCTCAGTCGAGCCGAACACCCAAGGCGCCAACCGATATACCCTGCGCCAAAACAGAAATCTGCCTGAATAAGGAACGGGGTTTCAATTAATAACCTCGCAATTTTTATAGTCGGGAAAGATTTAGGGAGATGGGATAGTGATGGGCAAGGTACTGACAACAATCCAGGCACTGACTTTGATTTCAATTTAAAAAATGGCGCGTAGTAGATGATCCTCCTTCGCTTCAAGCCCTACGAGCCGAACTTGTCAGCTTATGCAATCTCTTTCTTAATTTATATCAGGCGTTCCTTATTCAGGCAGATTTCTGTAAAAGACAAATGCGGAAAAATTGGGTGGAGAACATTTTGAAACAACTACGCGCTTCAACTTCGACGCTTTCGTTTAAGATAAAAGTGCCTACACGGCAGCAATTAATAGGTTGGACGAAGAATTCGTGGAATGCGTTGTCTCGCAAAACGGTTAGAAGCGGATTTGAGAAAGCAAAAATGGTATCCATTGAAAACTTAGAGGCTGGAACGGAGCTTTCCGACAGTGAACCTGATTGGGAGCTGCTACGACGGTTGCTGGAAGAAGTGCCCGTAGTGCGCCATGCTGTGGATACCGGTACGTAGAAAACTTCGTAGTTCCCGAAGAAGAACTTGATAGCTAAATTGTTTTGTTTAAATAATACGTGATAGAGATGCGTCGGTACGTGTACAGATCTTGTGTGTTTTGCAACAATACAACTTCAAAAATATTGGGTCTGAAGTAGGAGATCTCAAATACGGTATGTATATTACGTGTACTCACTACAGTACTTATACAGTATTAATACACTGTACCATGTTACTGCTGGGTGGATTTTTCTTGACAGACCGCGCACGCCAGCGCGCACGTGATGCCATCTTGGTTCCCCTGCGAGGAAATACCATCGGTCAGTAGAAAACTACTGATCTGTCCCCAACGCGGCGCAGAAAAGACGGCAATCAGTAGAAAATGATTAAGTTCGATCCGTACCTAACTCTAATCATAGCTACATTTCTGCTGCCTTCAGCAAAACCGCTTTTGCCCTAAGCGTACCATGCCTCGAAAGCCGCCTCCGAATTATGGGAGTTCTCCCTTCGTGGTAGATCTTTCTGACATCGCTACAGCTATAAGCATGGGTGTTTTGAGGGAAGACGCAAAAGTTGATACCTCAGACCGCTCCAGCCAAAAGTATGGGGGAGTATACGCGACGCGAACCAATATTGCAGACACTGAGTTTCCAACACAAAAAGCAGCAAGGGCAACATGTGACGATTTTGCAACGGTATGTGGATTCCAGTTGATTGTACAATCTTCGAGTGTGAAGCCAAACAACTCAGGAAACGCGAAGTACGTCTGCAAAAAACTAAATGGCATGGAGTTCTTTGATAAAGTTACCCCGGCAAAAGATCTAAGCTGCCCATTCTTCATCAATGTACACGGAAAGAATGGGGTATGGAAGATTACTCAAGCCAACTTCGCCCACAACCATCTCAAAAACATTGGATCTACTCAGAAACCACTCGCGGAGGGAAATATCCCTCGTGAAAAAAAGGCGAAAAGGAACCGGTCTGTCCGTGAAGCTCAACTATCGGCTGTAGTAGCACGTGAAATTCTGCCAGCTCATGCCAACTCAACTTCAACTCTTTCAGGGAAAGCTGTGCAGAAGTTTTTTAAAGGGAAGGGCATCAATGTCAGCAAATCTTCGATTTCTAGGATCAAGCAGGACCTGGACGAAAAATTGCATGGAGATTTACTCGAGAGCTACCAAAAATTGAAGTCGTACTTGGAGCTTCTGGCAAGTAAGAATCCCGGTTCCTTGTGGCGATATGAGAGCGAGAGCGATGGCGTGACCTTCAAGCGTGCTTGCATTGTCCCGAACGCAGGCGCCCACATTGTGAGTATGACTAAAAATTTGATTAGTTTTGATGGCGCTCATTTACAGGAAGACATGAACAAGCGAGGGGGTTTTCTTGTTGCCACTACAAAGGACTACAACAATCATATCATACCTTTTGGGTTTGCTCTGGTACCAACCGAAAATTACGACAACTGGGTTTGGTTTTTGAGGGCAGTCAAAGATGCAATTAAAGTAGAGAGAATCACGATTTTGTCTGATCGTCAAAAGGGTCTTATTTCTGCAGTTGCCGAAGTTTTCCCATCCGCTGGACACCGCTTCTGCCTCCGCCATATCATGGATAATATCAACAGAGCCAACCATAGACTCTCTCTTCAAGACAGAGCAACAATCTGCTCTATCGCTCGTTCCGACTGTGAAAATGACTACAACTTGTACATGAACGAGTTGGAGATTTCGAATTCAGGAGCCGCAGAATACCTCACTAAGAAGACTGAGGTAATCACACCGAGCGGTACCGAACAGAGACTAGTGCTTCCCACTGAAAACTGGGTTAAGTATAAGTTCTTCGAGAAATTTGGCCTGTCAACATACGATGAAATTACTTCAAACATCTCCGAACAAGCCAATAATTGGATGGGGAAAGATCTGCGCAGCTCAAAACCGCTTGATGCGTTTAACCTGTATTGCTTTAAACTCGGCCAATTGATGTCTGATAAAAGAAATGAAGCAGCAGATTGTGCACTTGTGGAAATTGGGAGGACGAACAATTTCCCTGTGTACACGCGATTTGTGCAGCTACCAAACATGGTATGAGACTTGAAGAACTGTACGACGCACAACGGCTTTCAATTGGGCACTTCAAGGATACCTACACGTTTAAGTTTCTCCCGTGGCCAACGACAGAAAGCCTCGTAACCAACCCGCAAACAAAGATACCACAACTAGCACCGGAGCCCGAGCGAATTGGCAAAAGAGGTAAGAAACCGGGACCACATCCGAAACATGCACGTAAAAAAGCAAAAAATGCTTTGTAGGGACGACTTTTCCATTTACAATTCACCCAATAGGCTCAAACTTTAAGGAAACTAACGACACAAACAATTGCAATCGTTGCATGCTGATTAATAATTAAGGTATTTCTTTCCAATAGATTATCTTACTGATCCTCACTCTCAATAAATATCAGCAGCAAACGGACTGGGGAGTCAATCTCTGTGAGTAGATAGAACTCTACTAACGTACCCTGAGAGTAACCAGTTGGATACGTCGTGTACCCAGCTACTTCAACGTCAACATGTTATTTCTGTGTACTATTTTTTAGCTGCTCAAAACGCCTCTATTTATATGGTTGTTTTTGTGGAGTGCACTTCGGTGGCATTCGCCATTTTGGTCGATGCCTCCGCTCAACCCCCGACAGCGTCACGCCCGAACGATCCAGCGACGTCTGGACAGCTCCTTTTGGCAGCTTCGTCTAAGCAGAGAAGCTAGCATACCGAAAGAAGTCGACCGAGAGCTGGACGCCGAGCGTGCATCGTCCATAGGTGGTGGGTTACGTGACGTTGTCAGTAGAGGAGGAGGTCTTTTTGCAAACGAGCGCCGAGCTCGTAGAGGAGACAATGCTTAGCTCTTCGAGGTAGAAAGAATATACGCCAAACGGTGGGTCAATAACTTCGTATACTACCTTATTCAATGGGTGGGGTACACAGAGTTGACGTGGGAGCCAAGTACCAACGTGCCAGCGCGCCTAAAGATGGTGTTCGAACACGAGTCAGTCAATTTCGTCTGGGTCTATCAATCTACGCGGGGAAGACGAACCCAGCGTCGCGAGCAGCCAACGCGCCGGAGTCAGAGACTGATAGACCAAACGAGGCAGGACTAAGAGAAAATGCAAATGCGAACTTAACACCAAACGAGGCAGCACTAAAAGAAAATGCAAATGCGAACTTAACAGCACCCCAGTAGCTGTGAAATCAGTAGTTGTGCAGGCAGCGCCGCGTTGGGGACAGATCAGTAGTTTTCTACTGACCGATGGTATTTCCTCTTCCCCTGCACCATTACGCACTGCGTAACGCAGCGCATGGCATGGAGCGCACAAAGCACTTGCCGTATTCATGAAGCCATTTTCCATAATCATCTAAATTTATGTGACCACACAACTATTCACTAAAGGTTAATTCCGCGCGATGTCCCGCTCTGCGCTGACACGACACGCCCTGCAGAAGTCCCTGCGTGATCAAAATGCGGAAGACCAGCCGCCCGAGGAGACGCAGCGCCGCGTCAAGCAGGATGAGCTGCCAATGTACGTGTCGACGTCGCGGCTTAATTCGTGCTCTAGCCTGAGCATTTTGATTTAGCCCTGCATTGACCCGAATCCCTTTGGCTTTACAGCTACGGCAATGACACGACGTACAACCTGAACACGCTGCTGCACCAGAACATCCTCCAGTCCGCTTACTTCCACGATCTCTACAAGTTCAGGACGTATCACGAAGTGGTGGACGAGATCTACTACCGAGTGGACCATGCAGGTACAAGAGAGGTTTAATTATCGTCTCTTGGGGAATGACGTTAACCTTTATTTTTAACCCTGCTGTCACGAAGAGCCCTGGTCGCCTGGTACGGCGCGCATTCCGTCGAGCTGTTTCTGTTTGCTGCACAAGTTTTTCCTTATGCGCCTCACCCGCAAGCAGATGCAGGGCTTACTGCGACACAGTGTACGGGAGATAGGCTATAAAAGCGGTTAAATGTTGGGGGTTCTTAACTGCTGCGAATACCCACAGGACTCACCATACATTCGCGTCGTGGGCTTCTTGTACCTTCGCTTCACTTGCGACCCCGAAGAGCTGTGGACGTGGTTCGAGCCGTATCTGGAAGACTCGGAGGAGTTCAACGCATCGGCGAATCCGAGCCTGAAAACGTGAGTCTGGGCGACCCTGTGCCGTTGGGTGGTAAGGACGACTGCAGCTGCTGTAACTCGTTGGACTCTACTGCAGCAGGCAGTCGCCACTTGGAGTGCTAACGAGCGAGTTTTCTGTGGTGCTGTAGAACGATTGGCGAGTGGCTGATTTCGTTGCTGGAAGAGAACAATTATTTCGGCACCATTCTGCCGCGTATCCCCAAGAAGATCGAGGACGGGATCAAAGTCAAGGTAAGTGACTCTGGGAGTGGAATGCGACGGAGATTTGGCGTGGAGTGAGCCTAGTTGTTGGGTGGGGGGGGGGAACGTCGCTTTATCGGTTCGTTTCTACAGGCAGTAGAGGTCTGACGAGGCTTTTGTTTGGTTTGTCGTAGCTTCTGCTGCTCTCGCGTAAGAAGGAGCGTGCCAAAGAGAACTTGGCTATCGTTGATCGACTCAAGCCAGGCGCGAAAGTTCGCGCGATGTATGCGGATGAGGAGAACGAACCTGCTGTGAGTGGTTGATCGTTGTATGAAGTATAGAACAGAGGAGTGCTGAGCTGAATGCTCTGGTTTGTAGATGTACGACGCAGTTATTGATTCCGTTGAGGAAGGCGACCAATTCTGGGTGAGCTTTGGGAAATACAGTGCGGTTAGCGCGTGTGCCGTCCCCTAACTCTATTGTTTTTGTGCCCTATCAGGTCTCATTCCCAGCGTATGGAAATACGGAGAAAGTGAGTCTAGGAGACATTGAAGTCGACAAAGGCAAGCAACGCCGTGGACGCTCGCCGTCTCGTTCCCGCTCCGCTGGACGATCGCGCTCACGTTCGCGAGGACGTGATAGAGGCCGCGATGGAGGCCGCCGTCGCCGGGATCGGGACAGTCGACGAGATAGCGATCGACGTCGGGGCTGCCGTCGTGACCGCTCGCGATCGCGATCGCGTTCGGCTTCGCGTGATCGACGCAGACGCAGTCGAAGTCGCACTCGCAACAAGGCTGGGTACGTTTTTAATAAGAGCGTTGATGTTGTCGTGCTTGATTGTGACTGCTCCTGTTCGTTGTCGTGTTACAGTGACAGAGACATTACCGGAGACTTGCTGCAGCAAGTGCGTGAGCGTGAACGTCGCAAGGCGGAGGCGGTCGGACGTGACTACGCTTCACGACCAGCCAGCTACAAGGGTTCGCTGTCGCTGAAGCTGGATCGCTGGACCACAAGGAAGCGATCGCGTAGTCCAGCAAAGCGAGAGGAAGTGGTGCTGGTGCAGCGAGGCATGTCCAAGGGCGATGAACGACCTCGTAGCAACACGCCGTCTCCTGGAAAAGCCCGAGAGTCCGAGCAGCGGCTGAAAAAGCTGCGTGACATGTACGGTGATGCATCTTCAAAGACCAAGGACGAATAGAGGAAAGGGACGCGAGGGAGCTGTAGATCCACAGTAATGTGCTGACACTCCAGCATGTCCAGATGAATTCAACCGAGCTTGGGGTTGTCCTGGCGACTACTGATCGTGTATTGCAGCTGCCGAGTAGTTAGAATCGGCTATGGGTTTCTTGTATGCCGAGTAGAACTCTATTTCAATACAGGACGAGGCTCCAATTCTGACGGCTTGGGGAAGCTGTTTACAGACTGGGTTCGCGTTTCAAGATCCAGCTACCGACGGCTCATGGTTTTAGACGGATTGGATTCTGTAAAGTTTAGCATTTCTGATTGTTTTTTGGTCTCGTGTCTCTTAAAGCCTACTGTTAAATGTCGTGAGGACGATAGCTGAAGAATGCGATACCGGTATCGGTACCGGTATTTCCAGAGCGGATTTCATGGAATATTAAATGCTTTGATAAAAGTATTAAATGCTCTAAGAACAACTTCGAAGTAGAAAAAGACAATCCGACGGATATTGAACTTATAGCTTCTCAAGACAACCCCGAGAATCATGGTTGCGTGCAATATTCCGCATCATTCACGAAGACTCGAACCTTAATCTTGCTCTGGTGCGTTTTGTTCGCAAACGACTCGAACCTTAATCTTACGCTGTTTCGCTCTGGTGCATTTTGTGAGCTTTTCGGTTACGAGTTACCGACATCGATAGCAAAGGGAGTACGATTTTGAGTCGTGCGGTGCACGAAAAAGCTTCGAAATGTGTAAATTAAACAACCACTTTACTAATATCGAACTAAATCTAAAACAAATATTTTTCTACTGCGAGAAAACGTTCAGTCAATGTCAGTAGCTGGCATTTATATTTGCCCGCCACTAGAAATGCAGACAACATTGGTGCTGTGTTGACACATATTTAACGCCAGTATACTTCGTACACTCCGTTCTGTATATCCCTGGCGCTTGAATGCATCTCCTGCGCCTAGTTTGCAGCCGCAGCACTGTTTACTATAATTCATGGAAAAACATACTTCATACCTGTCTAAGATATTAAAACCTAGAGATAAGGTCCCGCCTTATTTCCATTCTCAACATCTCTAATTAATATGCAAGAGAATGAGTCAATTGATTCAGCGCACGATGCTAGCTTTGCATAATTAGTTAAAGTGACCATCATGATAGAATTGCACTTGGTCTCTGACCTTTTGTCTTGAGCTCTACAGATTCTTTTTCTTAGATTTAAAAATGAGACCAGATTTGCAGATGGCCGATGAAAAGGAAAAAATATGGAGCTCGACGTACCCAAAATGAGAAATAGGGCTATTTGATGTACCCCAAAACATATCCGATGGTCTCATAGAATTGCAATGTTGTGAACTGGGCCAAGCGTATGCAGTATGCCTCGCTCAAAAGGATACCAGTGGAAATGTATTGTAATATATCACGTAGCTATATTACCCCTCAGCTATGCTAGTCGGTGGCTGAAAGTAGAGCGATACATCGATCATCCTAAATGAAGCGACAATTGCCCACTCTTGAGCAAGTGTGAATGCGATCTAGACCAACAAATCGTTCGCGGGCACATGAAAACTTAATCGTGTAGTGTATTGAGTTTGCTGAACCAGGGCTTGGTAAGATTCAATAACCGTAATAATAACTGGCAGTAACTTATTGCAATAACTAATTGGCCCCCAATCCCCAATTTCATCCTATTAAACATATACTACCAGTTTTAAAAACCTATACAATCGGTGGTTGGTATTCGTGGATGCATGCGCAATTCGCTACAGGAGAGCACTTCTTTCCTGTCATTCCGCAATTTGCCGAAACCAGCACAAGACCATCATTCTACGCCGCTCACCATGTCTTCAATCGCCCCAAGATCCGTTGCCAGAGCCCTCATTGTCCCCGATGGCGACGGATACCATCAGTGTCGGATCTGCTTCTCCTGTCGGAAGCAAGCTCGTGGCATTGGGTACACGAACTTGGTGGAACATCTCGTACAGTGCCATGCCAATACTTACGAGGACAAATTCCGGGCGATTCAGCGGCGAGAAGGTAGCCTCGACACTTTCGCGAAGGGTGATGAATTTTCCAGGACAATTTATCACTGGTTGGACTGGATCATCATTGGAGAACCGCGAACTGAGCATGTGTGAAAAGGCGAAAACGCGGAAATGTGGTGTAGCGGGATCAGCAAAATCTGCGAGATTGCTGGATCCAACTTACCAACTGCGCCCAGACACCGACTAACGGAGGGGGTCCCCCGATGATCCGTGTTCTGCTGAACTTTCCTCACCTTGTGTACCCGTCGGTAGGGCGGGATCTTGCTCTCTCGGTAACTTCCGAAGAGTTCAAGTGGTGAAGCTTGAGTGTCTTGGCGAGACGTGGGGATGGGGTGGAGCAGCAGTGGAAAACCTTCACTCTGCGTCCGTGGATGGTTCTGGATCCTAAGCGAATATTCGAGCTTAAGTGGATCCAGGGCCTAGATCGTGGATCTCGCCGTAGGGTTGCCTTGCGGGTGTGTTCCCTTGCCTCTACGTTTCCTTTGCGTGGTACTTGCCGCCTCCTGTGACGGGATCTTGAGAGTTGAGATCTGCTTGGGTGTACCCGGCCAAGTAGTAAATCCGGTTAACCTGTCGGATCTGCACGTGTAAAGGAAACGCTCACTAGGTTGTAGGATCTGGCCAATGTATTATCCAGTTATCACTACCAACACTAGATTCACAATTCTCAACCTTCTCCGAGCTCGTACGGCCGATGTAGCTTCGATTCTTGAGGGCAGGAAGGCACTTGCGTGTTACTGTACAAAAAGAAGTCCGTATTGATTCTTAAGCCTATACCTGCCTGGATTTTTACTTTCTATGTCTTTTACCCGTTAAATCCCTTACCAGGATCGGCTGTATGTCCTTTCTCTCCTTGACCCATCATCCCAGCTGTATTATCCTCAGATCCACCGGATCCATGGCGTAATCATTATGGTCACCCTATTATGGGTACACTCATCCGGATCCAGGTCGCTTTGATCCACCTCACTGTAAGAGTACACTCGTCATGGATCTGAGCTCTCCAATCATCCAACATCGTCTTGCGACCGTCTGTGATCTCCATTGTCCCACGAAAGCTCGAGATCCACTGCATTCACTATCCCCATATCCTGGATCCAGGTCACTCCGTGTGGGATCCTCACCCCTTTGGATCCGGACTCAGAAGTATAAGATCTGGGACATATCGCGGTGGATCTTGCCTTCTCGTTAGTCGCTGATACCAGATCCACCTTCAGAAGACGCCTTCCATCATTCCTTCATAAGATCCACACTCGATCCACCCGTACATAGTATATCCCATACCCCCCTAAGTGAACCCAGGTAAGGGTGGATCCGAGTTATTCCTTGGTGGATCTTGCCTTCCGGTAGGTCACTCATACCAGATCGGCTCATCCAGGATGCTGCTCGTCATGTCCAATCCACCTCAGGCAACGTGCATCCGCGCCGGGCGATCCAAACCCTCTCTAATCACTTGAGATTGTCCCTGATTCGGGATAGTGACCCCTTGTCAGGCCCATTCTCTTATTTCTGAGAAAGCACTTCACCACAGAAGTATACTCGTCTGAACCGAGTGAGCGTGAAGACGCTTAAGAAGAACATGTTCAGGCTGGAAAGTGTCGCTCAGGGGCGGATCAAGTTTCGACTGCGTGGCAAGAAAATTGGCTTTGCTATCAACGCATGGACCGAGGACGGTACGCATTTCGTGGCGGTCATTGGTGTAACTGAGGACGACAAGTATCTATTGTGCTTATCGACTCTGATGGACGAGTCAGGCATGGGATCGGACGCGATTATCGAGCTGCTTGACGACGTGTTAGACACATACGAGATTCATGCCTATCAGCTGTGCTTCTACGTGTGCGATCACGCGTCTGTGAATGTATCAATTGCAAACAAGACACTGGTTCCAATGATAGGGTGCGCTAGCCACCGATTAAGCTTGGCCGTCCAAGCCCTCATGGACTATATTGGATAAATTCCATGCGCTCATGGGCAAGTTGAACACGATCAAGAGCCGGCATCATCTCTGCGAGGCAGACGCTCTCATGCCCGTTTATCGTAATGCAACACGCTGCAGCAGCACCTTCTCCATGATCAACCGCTATTTTCGCATCTATTCGAAGTTGGACCGCATCGACGACCAATTGGCGGACTTCATTCCCACCCCGCGAGAGAATGTTCGATTGAAGGCTGTGTATGAAGATCTCAGGAACTTGGAGAGTGTGAACAAGAAGCTACAACTAACGACGGTGTCCCTGCTTGATGTGCGAGCTCTGTTTGATCATGTCATCAAGCATTACCCTGGAGCGGAGTTGTTCCTGTCTCCTACAGCCTCTTTGGTAAATATCCCGACTTCGAGAATGGGGTCGTTAAGCTTATGGCTGGCAGAGAGAATATCCTGACAAGAGGAGAACGAGCAGCTGTAGTAAAACTTCTCCAGACCTCCGATACTGTGGCGACGGGACCGCAGGAGGAAGGTGAAGATGCCCATCAGTCCTTTGCCGAAGCTGCGTTGAGTCAGGAGGAAGTGACTTCTTCTAGAGAGGACCTGAAGTGAATCTCGCCTACATCTAATGACGTGAAGAGGCTGTTCTCACGTGCAGGAATTGTGTTCTCACGTCTGCGCCGAAGCCTTAACCCAATGACGTTGGAGACGATACTCTTTTTGCAGCTCAATAGGAGCTTGTGGGATGCAAGTGCGGTTGCCGAGGCAATTGAGCTGGGAAAGAAGCGGACACGAGCTCGGGAAGAAGAAAACGCGAACTGATCAGATTGGTAAATTTTCTCTGTGATTTTCGTACTGGTATTAAATACCAATAGTAGAAATTTTCTACTATTAGTAGTTTTAGTCAGTATTTTAATAATCACAAAAATGTATCCATCAGTACGAATGGTATGTTTGAGTTGGTGTTCGTTCGGGAGGTGGGGCGCGTCGGGAGGGTTCTCCAGGTAAACCCCCTTCCGATTCCAATGCGCGTAT